GTGTATGTCACCGGGTATACCAACTATGTCATGAAACAGCATGTCAGCTATACATCATGGCCTATTAAAGTTTCATAAACTGTTCCTTTAAAAATTCAAATTTAACCTTCATGTTTTTATGTTTAAGAATGTTAGATTGGAAAGAAAATAATTTGATGTAATATGTATGCATGAAACAACTGACTAATGATTTTTTTCTTTTTTTATCAGACCATTTGGCTCAAAAGTCACAGATCAAATGTATCTAATGGTAACTGTATTGATACTATAAAATGAACACTTTAGTATACATTTCTGAGAGACCTCGTGAGTTTGGAGTGATAATTGTTATTTCTTATAAAAGGCTGTTGGAGATCAAAATGCAGATTTTTAATAGAGGATTGATGTGGAGCAAATGATAAGCAATTTGACTCTCGCCACTGCTGCTGAATGACGACATTAAAACATAACACTATAGTGCAAAATGTCAGGTACAGTTCTATTAAATATCAGAGTGCCACTTACTAGGTGAAGTGTTATCACCAAAATATATTATAAATAAAAACATCTCTAATGATTTTAGGTGGGCAATAGTTAACATAATGAAACGTTGTATATTTCCAGGATAAAATACACATGCAATTATTTAAAATTTAGTTGTGTTTGTACAGTGCAAGTTCTGAGCCAGTATGTGATGGATATTTTTAATTTAAAATGTTCATAGATGGAACTTTGGCTTGCTGAGAGCTCACTAATCTTAGTACAGTACGCTGTGCTAAAGGTATTTTCATTTCATTCATTGTAAGAAATATTTTTAATATATCATCTTATTTGAGTTCAATTTAGATTTTACTGCAATAACTCAATATTAAATCATTTTTATATATATTTATTAGTAGTTTAGAAAATGAATATCTTTAACCTTTGCTTATAAATCATTTTCACTACTAATGGACAATTTCTAGTGATCCCAACTTATATACTTTAAAGACTATTTTGTATAGTTCATTAAAAGCAAAGCTTAACATTAGATGTTGTCACCACACTTTCTGTACGTTTGCAGTGTGGTTGCTGTATATTTAAATAAAATGTAAAAGATAGTATTAAACCTAATTTAATTGTTTAGCAAGGTTGTTTGTCAAATACCATATTGTTTTGATCAGCAAGCTTCATATATAGGAGTAGTCATCTTTTCTCATTATACCCTTATCCTGTTTGTCTTCTTCAAGCTCTGTAACCAAGGTTAGACAGTCATAGTGAGACAGGGTTAGCTCTGGAAGACAGTCATACTGAGACATTGTCAGCTCTGGAAGACAGTCATAGTGAGACAGTGTCAGCTCTGGAAGACAGTCATACTGAGACATTGTCAGCTCTGGAAGACAGTCATAGTGAGACAGTGCCAGCTCTGGAAGACAGTCATACTGAGACAGTGTCAGCTCTGGAAGACAGTCATAGTGAGACAGTGTCAGCTCTGGAAGATAGTCATAGTGAGACAGGGTCAGCTCTGTAATACAGTCATACAGAGACAATGTCAGCTTTGGAAGACAGACATATTGAAACAATATCGTTTTAATTTTTGCAATGAGAATCATTCTCTGACCTTCCTTTTTAACAGAAGTTAGTATAGTTCTCTAATGAATTAATTTCAGTTATAATAAAGCAACCTCCTTGTGTTGAATGAAAACAAGTTTCTCCACACCATGCTGATTAAACAATAAGTAAGCAAGAACAATGTGAGAAAGGGAATGTGGATTTTAAATTGTCAATAAAGACTTATCACCGACTAATGATCGGCCTGTAAGCACAGAATCTTAAACAAGTGAATACTTTTTAATACATTTAAACAAACACCCTGGGTTAAATATATAGCCCCCACTGTAGTTTAACAAATATTCTACTGTACTTTAATAAGCATTAATTAATGTTGTGGGAGACCTATAAGTTAAGTCAAGAAAAATCTGGGATTTATTTCATCAGAACAGATTGATTTGTTTTTCTAGACAAAATGGAATTGCTCATCTTTTGAACTAGTGGTGTATCCTCCATATAATCTTAACCTGTCAAGTTAACACAATATTACATTTTCTGATAGAGTGTGTACACATTAAACATGTTTAAATAAAATCCGTCCCTGTGATGTAAAATGTATGTGGCCAAGTTATGAGTTTGGAGTTCTTGTTTTATGGCTTGCCAGAGTGAATTGAATAAATACAGGAAGTGTCAGATTTATTAGGATTATAACATAAAAATCTAAATTAAATATAAGAAAAATCAGAACAGTATTGTGCTAAAATGTTAATGTTATGCTAGAAATATGTGCTTACGTGTCAAGGTTACCTATTTAGAATGACTTGGACTCAGAGAAAAGCACTGAACTGCTTAGGTTGTTTTGTTGCATAGTTAGTCTACTACATTATCATAAGAAAAGCTGTAGCAGTAATGTGGGATTTATTTTAATTTGCATAGAAAATGATTATTACATCTTGTACTGTGTTCTTGATGCAAAATGTTGAAGTTTGATTTCTTAGAGTACTAAAGGCCAGCTCAACCATAACTAACAAAACACAACAACAAAACCAAGTATTAGTTGTTATAAGAATCTTTTAGAGGATGAAAGTTAACTTGGCAAATTTGATTCTTTTTAATTAGTTTGAATTAAAAAAATAGGATTCAGAGTTGCCAAGAATGATGTCAATGTATTTGAATAAAACAATAATACAGGTAACACATATTTTTCATCAATAGTGGCTGATCTGCTGATTGTTGTGAATTGATTGCATACCTAACAAAATAACAAATCATGTGATGGAAAACACTGACTTTCCATGTATCCGTGCTTTTTTTCCTGAGGATATACAATTAGCATACTGTGTAAAATAATTTAAAATTTTGCATTTAGTATTTTTCTAGCAGAAAATATATTTGCTAGGTAAATATACCATGGAAGTGATATTTCCTTTTACTATCAACTTGGATGATATACCTTCTCCTTTCTTGACTGCAAAGTATGTTTTGCCAGAAATAATGATATTACATTCACAATTATTTAGTGCTATTTTGTACCATACTATAATGAAGGGATTAAAGTTAAAGTTATGATTCTAGGATCTGAAAACTTTCTTCAATGGTGTGTGTCTTTGGCAACTTTGGTAAACAACCCCAAGTTGGAATTTTTTAAAAGAAGAAAATTATCAAATAGGTTTTGAAAAGCTAAAATAAATGGAGATTGTAAGTCCTTTTCTACTGGGTATAGGTCAGTTGTGGTTCTAATGTTGTGACATAATAATTGATTATCATTGTTTCTGGAAAGACACCTCTCCATGTGATATGACCACATTTTTGGATGAAACCATCTTTCATTTCCTATTTTATGTATGTACTCTAAGAAAGTTACCTCAAAA